AGCCAGCATGCTGGCTGGGGAATTCTGGGAGTTGAAGTCCACATGTCTTAAAGTTGCCAAGGTTGAGAAACACTGTATTAGAGGTTGACCTGGCTTTGCGAGGTCTATTCTAGGAATGCATTCCCCCTGCCCCAGCAACTCTGGCCAGGACAAAACTTGATTTGGCTGTCATTTAATTTAAATTCCAATAAAAGCATCTCAGCTCAGGGCAATTCATTGCTGAAGATGAAGGCACCCGTACATGGCCCTTAAGTCCCCTGAAATGGGAAGAATGATCCCCATTTGGGGCAGAGGGAGGGTTTTGAAAGCTTAAAATGAGCCAGACTGGTATGGTGGTTAAACTGGAAGACTAGAGACCAACTTTGGGCCAGTCCCCCCTCTCTCAGCCCAGCCCACCTCACAGGGTTGTGGCAGTGGGGAAAGTAAGAGGAGGGAGCATTATGTACACCGCCCAGAGTTGTGTAAGAATAATGGCGAGATACAGATCAAATAAATAAATAAATAACATCTCCTCCGAGTTGAGTTAAAGTGTTGGTGATTCCATGGAGACTTCCACACTGTTTTCGTGTCAGCGTCCCAGGAATTGTTGGCCGTTGACTTTTTTCCGGAAAGTTATTTCAGCTTCCTGGGATCCAGGATGCCATAAATGGCTCCCAAATGCTAAGAGTGAAAACAAGGGTCCACAGATGTCAGGACCTTCCCCCTGGGAGGGAGGGGACATTGGGAATGGGCCTCTTCCTGATGCCATCACCCAGGCAAACCCTTGAGGGCTCCCCTCAGCCCTTCACTGGGGGTCCTTCCTCTCTTCCAGCCAATATTTGGTACTGGTGCCTTTCCTGATCCATACGGAGACCACCGAGAAGATCTGCGTCCAGCTGACCCACCTGAACGAGTCAGTGACCCTGAGTGTCGTGCTGGAATATACAGCGTGGAACCGGAGTCTGATCAGAGATGTGATAACAGAGAAGGACGTCTTCCAATGCGTCCCCTTTCAGGTGAGATTTTCTGCCCTTCTGCTTGGGTTTCTAACCCTAATCAATGTTACCAGGTCTCTAGCCTGAGAAACTCCTCATAACAGCTTTGCCTGGAGGTTGAAGTGACTTAGGAGCACCATACTAAGAAGTACAATTGAAATTTTTAAGGCACCTTATGAGTGCATTCACAAAACGGCCACTGAGAAGGTGAGGCTGGTCACAAAGATATTCATTTTCCAGAAGGCAAACTGGTTATTTGGCCCTTAACTACCCCCCTCCCCTTCCTGTACCATCTCAGTTTAATTTCATCCCTTTTTTATTTTTCCTGCACTGGTGGGACCAGTTCCCAACCAAAAGGCAGCTTCTAGCGCCATACTCTAATAGTTATTAGAGGGGTTTCTCGTTGATTAGGACTGAATGGGAAAGTTATTAGGACTATATAAGGGAATGTTGGGAAATATATGGAAGTGCTTTCTATTATCTTTGGGAAGGGATGATGGTATATGATCATACTAGTGAGATTTTTATATGCCCATAGATGACAAAAACACACAGATATTTAGGATTGGACATTAATGGTAATGGAGGTGGTGACATAGTATATTGAAATTTAAAAAGGGGGGAGTTAGTTTTGCTTCTATTTGGAAATTGCTTTTGGTTTTTTTTGTTTTTTTTTGCTTGGGATTTAAAATGCCATGTTGCCTTGGGGCTTTGATAATTATTAGATTTTAGGGTTAGAGAAGTATTTTGTATTAGTTATATTTTTAGAGGAAAAGATGTATGTATTCTATATTTGTATCTGCAACAAAGGAAGTCGGAAGTCATCTATTCTTTCTCTCTCTTCTTTTCTTTTTCTTTTCTACACTTTTAACTCTTTCTTTTTTTCTGACTTTTCTGTCTCTTTGGTTTTTCTGTTTCCTTATATTGTATTCTTTACTGAAAATGAATAAAGTTTCTTTAAAAAAAAGAACGCCCACTAAGCATCGGTGAGGCTGAGACACATTCGGTCAATAAAGAAGATACCAGAGGTTGGAACTTGTTTTACATCCTGCCACTTGCCCCATGTTTTAATTTCAAAGAATCTTTTTTTTAAAAAGTTCAAGGAGTCAAGGAGCCTTGTTAGCATCATAGGAGGTTCTGTAGTCACACGGATGAGTTATAATAGTCAGATGTTTCCATCCAGAAGCCCAAGACTCCTTTCAGAAACTTCTACTGTGTTTTGGCTTGTAGAACAAAAACAGTGGAGATGAGGAGTCTGCTGGGTGGGTAGGGTCAAAACTGGCAAATTTCAGATGGAATGTAATCCCCCCTCAGTCACAGAAGTTTCCTGGGGGCCAATCCCTTCCCCTCAGCCCCAGAGCCAGGGTGGGGTGGTGGTGCAGATGTCGAACTAGGAGTGGGGAGACCCCCATTCTGGTCCCCACTCAACCATGGAAGCCCCATGGAAGACTCTGGGTCAGTCCCTCCTGCACAGCCCAGCCTTACCTCACAAGGATATTGGAAAAATGGGAGCAGGAACACCTTGAGCTTCTAAAGTAGGAATAGAAATCTATCAACCAATTATAAAAATGAATAAATGAATAAATAAAATCAGGCAGGACCTCAAGAGGGGATAGATTCATTATCGCGTAAGACTTCGGCCTGCTCCTACATCAAGCCAAGCCACATGTGGTCTCGATTTAGCATGCTATGGTGAAGCCAGCCATTCTGGCTTGAAAGCCAGTTGTTTATTTAGCAAGCTATGGCTTAAAACATACTTTGCAGTGTATCCTTATCCCACTGAGTCACTGTCATTCCCAAAAAGACCTTAAGGGTGTTGGTCTTCCTGCTCCAGCTTCCCAAATGGAACAGTTCCTTGGGGTCCCCGGAGGTGTTTCTCCTGGTGACGGTGAAGGGCCCATCGCTGGAGTTCAGAAGTCGGAAGAAAGTGCTGATCCAGAACGTGGATAGCCTGGTCTTCATCCCGATGGACAAATCTATTTATAGGGCTGGACAAAAAGGTATGTAAGCAGTTCCAGAGGGGAAATGGTTCTGTTAAACCATTCCCCTTGCAACTCCAAGCTTCTTACTCCTTTGGCAAATCTGGCCTGAGGCACCATCTGGAACGGTAAATGTGTTCCTCATTGCATCCTTGTCCCTTTAGATAAATTCAGAGATGGACCCCGGGAATCACCAAGCCGTGAGCCACCTACTCCAACCCAGAGCCCAAGGCAGAAAACTCAAACAAGATCATTTCCAAGCAAGGACAAACCACCTTCCCCTTCAAGGCCTTCTTTATACTACCTTTGGGGAACATGCAGTCCCTCGACTTGGAAAAATCTGGGAAGCCTGGTCTACTTTCCCATACAATCTGATTCATTGCCCTGACTATTAGTTCCTCAATCAATGGGCTACTTAAGAACATGAGAACCTAAGCAGTGCCCTGCTGGATTGGACCCCTGGCCCTCTATCCAGCAGTCCGTTCTCCCAGTGGCCCACCAACTGCACCAGGAAGCCCACCAGTCTCTCAGCAAATGGCCTTCAGAGGCAGTTGCTCTTCTATCAAGGCTGATAGCCATGGATCCCCAGGACTTCCATGAATTGGCCCAATCTGTTTTTGAAGCCATCAACCTGGTAGCAAGCACCAGATCTTGCAATAATGATCAATACCACGTATTTCCTCCACTGTGAGATTATGATATGTTCCCATCACCAGCTGCCAACATGGTTGCTTCCCTGCTAGAATAGCTAATTCTGGCCCCAAGTGGAATCATGAAGAGAAAAGGAAACCTATCCTTAGATCTACAGTGCACATTCCAGTTGGAGGGCAAAGCTTAATCTGTTCCTCCTAGGGTGAAGAGGGGCCGGGTGTAATTCTTAGACTGGGATTCCCCACCCCACCTGCCAACTGGGATCACAATTCTCAGATTTCCCAGTCAGCTTTTGGCCCTTTTGAGGCATGAAATACCCCAAAACTATAATATAAACCCTAAGCAGATGTATTGCAAACTTTGAAAAACACACCAGGGATCCACATGTAGACCCCAGAAGAAGTCCAGAAAATTTGATACCCATGTGATGTGGCTCCACCATTTTGCATCATTGTCCACATCCTCTGTAGTCCTCTCTTCTCTGCAAAAAGCTGAAGTCCTGCCCCAGCCACTAAAATTTACCATTCCCTGCTGGAAAGTCTCAGTTAAACTGCCTTTCGATCTTCCTTTCACAGTTCAGTTCCGCATTGTCTCTCTGGATGAAAACTTTCGTCCCTTGAATGAGAAGGTCAGTTTTCATTGTGACTCCCAGAAGTAGACTCTGAAGCTATTCACATGACATCTCGTGGACTGGTTTCCCATCCTAAGCAAAGTGTAGCCTGGGTGGAACCAAACCGTTCTCCAAGTTGATGTCCTTCAGATGTCTGAGCCCTCCTTTCCTCTCCTCCAATCAGTGTGTCTCTGATCCACAAAGACACATCAGAGATCATCCCACACTGAGCAATATCCTCTGTTGCTGGTTGTACGGATAGGGAGGGGAACCATAAGCTCCAGGAGAAGCCATGAGGATGTCCCATGCATCATGACATCATGATGTACAGTACATGATATCAGGACATCTTCACACAAATTATGTATATTGTATGATTTGCAACAGTCACATCATGATATACAGTACAGAATTCACATCATTTGCATGTGTGATCACTTGCCCCCTAGGCACCCCCTTGGGATTGTCCAGGCCTTTGAGGTGCTTGAGTAAATTATTTGTTGCTCCCTCTGATTTCTCTTCCTCTGATTTCTCTTTTTGTTTTTACAGTTTCCTCTGGTTTACATTCAGGTAGGTGAATAATTCCCATTCCACCTCTTGCTGAACTTACAATGATGTCATTACCCTACACGAAGTATCCAGGTGTCATTTCTTCTCTTTCTGCATGAAAGCTTTACGTTCTTGTAGAAATGTAGCCAAAAGGTACCACTTGCACTTGAGAACCAGATTGTCTGGAGACATATAGAGTAAACCTGAAGTTAACACAGATAGCATAATTAAGCCAATCACAAAGCTGGTTAAAGGGAAAGAAAGAACACTGAAGCACAACATAGTCAGCCACGGAATATTTTCTAAAGTTCAGCTAGTTGGTGGCATCTAGTCAGTCTTGGATGGTCTTGGCTGAACCTTGGTTGTACGTGGATGGGAGACCACAAGGTTGTATCAGGACACCAGCCTCTATTAGAAAGTTGAAGACACATCCCAGAAGAAATCAGTAGCAAACCACTTCCATAATACTGCCCCCAAAATGGGATGGCGATGTCCTTGAGGTCACCAGGGGTTGAGTTCAACTTGAAGCTTGAAAGTGAAGTTTTATTGACCAAGAGGGGGAAAAAATTAACAATTGTGGAACGGAATAAATGGAAAATCCAATTAGTGCTTCACTGATATTAGAAACTAGACGAAACGAACTGATTTTCTGAATGAAACCTTATGAGTATTTATATACCTTTCAACATTTACTTACTGTTTATATTTTAAACAAGATCAAAGCTCTAGGTCTTTTCTTTCTTTAAAGAACAGAATTGCCCCGTAAGCTCACATTAATGTGGGATCTGATGCCGCGTCTCTTCATTTCTAAAGCACTTCCTGGACTGACCATGTATCCCGTTCCAAGAAGTGCTGCAGAAAAGAAGCAGCGACTAGAAACAGTCCCATGTTGCTCTAAATGTAATTAGCAATTTTGTTGTGAAAAGAAAAAAAAAGGCTTAAGCCATAACTATTTTACTCATGTTAAAAAGAAAACCAGTCATTCTCTGCCCCAAAATAGGATAGATTTTTTTTCCTCTGTAGTTTTCATTTTAAAACCTGGGGGAGGGGGGGCAAAAAAACTGACAAAGCTGCTGGAAATTGGATTGGATTCACTCCAATTTGCATTTTCCTAAGCTGGCCCTCGGGTTCTCCCACATCTCACCATCTTAGCCCCTTGCTTCCTTTATATTAATCGTCCTTTTACTTTGAGAATTGTGAAGTGCTTCACAAAACATTTTGTTTGGTTCTGTAACAGATTTCCAATGTATTAGACAGTTAATTTAGATTATCTAGAGCAGTGTTTCTCAAGAATGCTGGCTCAACCATGCTGGCTGGGGAATTCTGGGAGTTGAAGTCCACACATGTTCAAGCTGCAAGGTTGAGATACACTGATCTAGAGCAAACAAGCTTTTGATGCAACATACTGGAAAGGACAGGAGGAAAGCAGGGAGGGTTTAAAGATTAACTGGGACCTATGATCCTTCACTGAAACATTCAGTGCAATTCAACAACGCCTCCATATTGAACAAACTTGAGGATTGCACTGAACATCCATAAAAGTCCTAGGAAGGACGTAAACAGGTCCACCTGTTTCCTCTCCTCAGAAACATTAATTCATGCGTTTGTCCAAGGATCTGATCAGTTCACCCTTAAAAAAGATTGATTCAGTTGAAATCTACTTTGACCCATTGGTTTAGACTCGAACACCACTGTAAAAAGGAGACCGCAAGCCCATTATGGGTCTACTCCGAAATAAGTCCGTGAGATGATTCCCAAATAATATTGCCCCATTTTTAGTTCATAGGTTGATTTATTTTCATTTTTCTTGACATTTATGTTAATGCTTTGAAAGTGGATGTTTTAATTGCTACTACCTCGGGTTACGAATTTAATTCGTTCCGTGACTCTGGTCGCACCCCGAATTGGTCGCAC